TCCTCCTCCTCTTCTTTCTCCTCCTCCTCTTCTTTCTCCTCCTCCTCCTTTTCTTTCTCCTCCTCCTCCTTTTCTTTCTCCTCTCCTCTTTTCTCTTTTTTCTCTCTCTCTCTCTCTCTCTTTTCTCGCGCTCTCTCTGTCTCTCTCTCTCCCTTTAATTTCTAATGCCTCCTGGAGAATGGGCTGTTTTTTTTCTGTCAGGGTACTGCTCTGGGGGTAGTGCGAGGTGATATTATTGTTTTTTCCCTTTTCCCCTCCGATTTTCCTTCGTTCTGATCCCCTTTCCTTTTGTTTTTCCCCTTGAGGCAGTGACGTTCCTGGGAGAAGCAGGCTACCCTCTGATGAGTCTTCTGTCCTCTCTCTCTTTCTCTCTCGCTCTCTCTCTCTCTCTCAGCAGATTGGAGGTGTCTCCGAAGGCCGAAGCCAGAACTGGAACCTCGTCGTCCCCTCCCTCCTTCCACACAACTCAGGCTGACCCCTTCAGTTCGGCCCCTCCCGTGGGATCAAGGGGCCCCAGCTCGGCCGGCCTCGGGCCCCTGGCACTCCAGGAAGCCCCGTCTCCGCGCTCCCCCTCCCCAGACGTGGGGACGATGGCATGGGGCTCCTCCCTATCCCCTCTTCCCAACTCCTCCTCCTCCTCCTCCTCTTCCTGCCCTTCCGAGACTTCGGAGGCATCGATCGAGCTCAGCAGGCAGAGAGCACCCACTGGAGACCTCTTGCGGGAGCTGACGCAGGGGACCCCTGGGGAGGGGCGCCAGGGGACGAGGGGAGGGCGAGGGTCGCCTGGGAGCCCGGGGGCAGCGGGAGAGAGCTCGGAGGGTGGGGGAGCCCGGGTCCTGTGCCGGGATCCCAGTCCGACCGGCTCCCTGGAGCCCCGGAGCTCCCCCCGCCCGCCCTCCTCCCTGCCTGCAGGGGGCGCCGTCTCCCCCTCCCCCAGGGAGCCCCCTGCAGTCCTGCCGAGGGGTGGGGCTCCCAAATCGGGGCTCCCTACCCCGGCGCCCAGGGGCGTGCCCCGAGCGGGCCCTTCCCCTCCCCCTCTCCCTCTGCATCTCGGCCTGGGCTCGTCTGTGCCCCCGGAGAGCGCAGAACGGGAAGGGGAGCCTCCGGACGCCTTGGAGCTTCCCGGTATTCCTGAGGAGCCCAACGTCCGACAGGAAGCTCCTGTGGCCCGGGATGGTGATCCCCCCCAGCCGCCGGCCAGCGACGCCCAGGGGGGCAAGATGACCGCCGGGGCAGTGGAGGAGGCGGGGCTGGGGGGAGGCTTTCCCGAGACCCCCGCGGCCCCGGAGCCCATGTCCGAGCCCAGGCCCCCGGACTCTCGCCTGGAGCAGACCCCTGCCCAGGTTGCCGCTCCCTCCCTCCTCCCGACCTCTCGCCCTCCTTCGCCTCCGGCTCCGGCCCCGTCCCCTCCTCTCCTCTCCCTGTCCTCTTCCCCCATGACCAGTGCTGCTCGCTCGGTGAATCCTCCTGAACCGGGAATCTCTGACCGGAAGAGGCTGCCTCAGGCTAAAGTCTTACCCACGGAGACACAGCCAATCGAATCCCAGAGCAGTGAATCAACAGTACCTTTCAGGTGCAGGTGAGGTCAGGTTAGTCCTGGGCATCGTGTAAAAGTGACCCCAGTTCTCCCAAAACATCCTCACTCCATGGAGGGGGTTGGGGGTCCCCGTGACCGGTGATAGGCTGGATACGCTGGGACTTTTCCCTGGAGCGTAGGAAGTTGAGGGGTGACCTTACAGAGGTCTATAAAATCTTGAGGGGTATGGATAAGGTGAATGGTATGTGTCTTTTCCCTGGGGTGTGGGATTTCAAGACTCGGGGGTATATCTATAAGGTGAGAGGAGAAAGATTTTAAAAAAGGACATGAGGGGCTCTGCCCTCCAGTTTTGGTCCCCCCCCGCGCCCACTCCAGTGAAAAGACCTTGGCTATTCACCCTATCCATGCTCCTCATGATGTTATAAACCTCTACGAGGCCACCCCCCCGCATCCTGTGACATTCCAGCCTATTCAGCCTCTCCCTACAGCTCAAACCCTCCAACCTTGGCAACATCCTCGTAAATCTTTTCTGCGTCCTTCCAAGTTTCACAACATCCTCCCTTATAGCAGGGAGACCAGAATTGAACGCAGTATTCCAAAAGGGGCCTGACCAATGTCCTGTACAGCCGCAACATGATCTCCCAACTCCTATTCTCAATGCACTGACCAAAAAAGGCACGCGTACCAAATGCCTTCTTCACCGCCCTGTCTACCTGCGACTCCATTTTCAAGGAACTATGTACCTGCACCCCAAGGTCTCTCTGTTCAGCAACACTCCCCAGGACCTTACCATTAAGTGTATAAGTCCTGCCCTGATTTGCCTTTCCCAAAATGCAGCCCCTCACGTTTATCTAAATTAAACTCCATCTGCCACTCCTCGGCCCATGGGCCCATCTGATCGCGGTCCCGGTGTACTCCGAGGTAACCTCCTTCGCTGCCCACTACAACCTTCAATTTCAGTGTCATCTGCAAACTTACCAACCACACCTCCTATGTTCACATCCAAATTATTTATACAATTGTGGGAGGAAACCGGAGCACCCAGAGCAAACCCACACAGGCACAGGGACAACATACAAACTTCACGCAGTTGCCCGAGGGTGGAATCGAACCCAGGTCCCTGGTGCTGTGAGGCAGCAGTGTGCTACATTTTAAAAAAATCTAACCTAATTTTCAAATCAACCTGTTCAGAGATATTACTCCACAGCTCTGAAGCAGGTGGGACATGAACCTGGGCCTTCTGGTCCAGAGTAGCGACCCTACCTCCGCACCACAAGAGGGCCCCAGAAGTGGTACTGACTTCTGTTCCTAGGGGGCTCAACACCTTAGGCACCCGGCAGACAAATATTAACCCCTCCCTCAGAGCCATTCCACTATCGTCTCTCCCACAGAGTGGTCATTGCATTCTTCAATCTAAGTTAGAATTCCGAGTCTGTGGGCTGGGAAATTTGTAGATGTTTGGTGTCTTAAATGTCTCTTGTTCATGGTAATGTTGAACCTCGCAAGGTGTTGGTGGGGGTGGGGGAGTTGGGGGAACGGGAAGACAAGCTCTTGTCGAGCGCGGGACTGATTTGATTTGATTTATTCTGTGCCGCAGTACAGTGGGAAGTATTGTTTTTTGGCAGAAACAAACTGTGAACTCTCTGTCAGCATCCCCCTTTTTTTTTTTTTGCTCTTCAAAAAAAAAACCCCACACGTTTTACTCCGGCCTCGCTCTGCCTCGGAACAACCCGAAATATTTTGTCAGCCTTTACGACGCAGGAAGCCTGACACCCAGTTTTCACGCAGAAAGCTCTCGAGTGTCGTGCGCCATGTCGGCCAGATAATGAGTGGTCTGCGACGAGGATTCGGGGCCAAGTATCAGCTGGGGCACATCTTCAGTGCCGCCACATCATAGAAATCATAAATCCCGACAGTGTGGAAACAGACCCTTTGGCCTAACAAGTCCACACCAAACCTTGGAGCATCCCACCCAGACCCATCCTGCTATACACCCACCCTAACCCGCACATCCCTGGGCACTATGGGTAATTTAGCACAGCCAATCCACCCTAACCTACACATCCCTGGGCACTATGGGTAATTTAGCACGGCCAATCCACCCTAA